GTTATATTAACTAGTGATCTATCATAACACACACACAAAATAGTATACAATTCAAAAGACAATATACAAGAACAGTAATGGTATACACAATGTCCTGAGGAGATGTGTGTTCATTCACAGAAAGGTTTTCCTATGAATTAATTATAGAAGAGTCCATTTTGCTGTGTATTATGTGTCTTTCCTATGGAAAATGTAGTGAGAGGGAGAACTCTCAACATGCCATTAGGTCGTAAAGTCTATCTGGTCTAGCAAAGGTGTCATGGTTGCCATGGTAACCAGGGTCCTGGGCCTCGTTCACAGACATCTTGGCACCCAGTATGTTTATTGGGTGAGGGGTCTGTGAATGTTTGTTAATCTAATGAATAATTGATTTGTTAAATCAAATGCAAAATTGTGTTTCTGATTGGTCCAGACGCTACAGATTACACCGGAGGAAACCCCTGGACAAACTCTCAGCAGCCTTTCGTTAAAGGTCAGTGAAGAACTTACAAGGTTTCTTGGCAAACTCTTTCAAAAGGAATGAACGACTTTAATTCTTTAATACAATACATTAACCCAATTCATGGAAACACACGACTGATGCTATACATGTTACATGAAACAACGTATCTTTAAACTGTTACTTTACTTAAGTATCTGAACTTTTATAATCTCTTTGTGAAACTTTGAAAGCTACATTTCAGAAACACGCCATGTCCGAAATCACTCCAATTTTTTTTACATAGTGCACTATATCAGGCATTGGCCATTTTGACAAAATAAAATAGGATCTATGATGTCATTTTAAGTATTTGAATATTACTAATTTTAAATCATTTTAAAAGTAATCTTGTGCCCCCAAAGTTGAGAACACCTGAGGCCTGTTGCACGAAGCCGGTTTCGTTTTTTACCCAGGTAAGTTCAGGTTTAGTTTGCGTTTTTGGGCTCAAGAAGGTGGGTTGGTTTTGAGTGGGATTCGTCACCATGGTAACTTACGCTACACAGCTACCCTGCTTCAGAGCAGGTTTTATTCTGGGTTAGCGATCGCAAATCCAAACTGTACCAATCAGCTGTGAGCAAAGTAACATATATCTGATGCAATAAAGCCACTCCCCAGAGAGCGTTTATCTCAAGCTTTGTGAGCCCGCTGAACCTGATCTAAACCAGGTTGGATTTGATTAGTTTTGTCAACTCTAAACCTACTCTGAAACTCAGAGTTTGTTCAGCTAGCTTCATGCAACAGCCACAGGTCGAGACTATATATGTATTTGGCAGCATTACTAACCTTTAAGGGGAAAGTTGCATGAAGCCTTTGTTGAAGAGAGGAGACATTGTGTTCATGTTTGTTTAATGTGTTTCCTTCAAAAGATCCACACTCCCCACCTATAGATGAATGTTACCAGGTGCTCTTGAAGCTTGTGAACATGAACCTCGATGTGTTGAAAGGCACTGATCCTTCTGCTTGTGATCAATCCATCAGAACAACGCTGACCGGTAAACTTTTCCTAAAGTGTGCTAGAATTTATATAGTGGGGAATATATGGGGCTAGTTGTCACATACTGCAGTGAATATTTCTCAGGGGTGGTTCAGTTTATTTCTGACAGACAAATAAAAGTTATTCATCAGGTTTGTTCATCACTGCAAGGTTAGATATCATATTTGAACTGATGCAATGAAAACAAGGCTGTGAGGGAAAGATGTCTGGAGTCATTTGTTTAGTGAAAGACATATTTTCAATGTTTTATCAGTTGAATGATGTTCACAAAGATAAACAATACAACTCATTGTACATTATGGCTGTCTTTCACAGACTTGTTTTCACATCAGATTATCTACTATCCGTAGTGGGGCACGTTGCACATTATATTGGGCAAGCTGTCACAGAGGGAACCTGCTATTTATTGACACTGATTTGAGAAGATTTATTTTTTTTTTTTTGCTATATGAAATACTGTCTAAAATAAAATAGACATATTTCACATCATATCTGTGTTTAACATTTTTCGTGTGTAAGTCTCTTTGGAAAGCATCTGCTAAATTATGTAAATTTAAATGTAAAATGTACTATAGTCTATTTAATGGCTTTTTTGCTCAATTTAAATAGTAAAATAATTCTGAAAATCTAATCCTGAAAGCGCAAAAATGGATGGGGTAACGTGCCATATCATTCAAAACAAAAAAAATTTTGTTTTGTTTTTTTGACTAAATGTAAATGAAGCTTGTAGATGCACAAACTAGAATAGGAACAAATTACTAATGACACATGTGCACATATCCCCCTCTTTTTACAGACCTCTCTGGAGGCCAAAGGCAGCTGATTCATCAATTAGAAAAACTGAACGATGATAAAGCTGCTGGTAAAAAAGCAGCAAAACAGTACGTGATGCAGTACACCGTGGATGTATGCAACTATTTGGAGCTCAAGCTCAATTTCTGGCCATTTGGTAGGTTAAACCCTCTCTAATATCCATTCATCCATCCGTTTTCCACAACGTTTGTCCCATGAAGGTTCGCGGGGATGCTGGATGCTGATCTCAGCGTCATTTTTAGCAGCTGAGATCGCAACTTTCCACAAACATGTTTATGCTCTACGCTAAAACACACTGATCTGAAGATCCTGTGATAAAACATTTTTAATCTGCAAAGCACCATGTAGTCAAAGAACCCTACTCAGCCAAAATAGTTATTGACAAGACCCTAAGAACCATTTACTGAGCTGAAGAACTGAAGAACTTTAGAAAATTCATTTTGAAGAGTGTATTTGTTTCACGGGTCTTTTTAGGAGCATTTGTAGATGCATTGCTCAGTGGATCTGGGGCAGGCATTATAACTTCCTCCACAACATGACAGGTGAGAACAGACCCGTTCATTAACTGGCAATTCATTGAGAATAATAAAGGGACTCATTTCACACTGTGATCGCTTAGATGATGCAGTGCCTCGTGCTCTTCTGGAAAGTGAGACGAGAGACTATATAGACGCCAGAGTGTTGCTGAACTCACCCTACTTTTCAGTGCTGAGAAAAGAACGAGACATTGACCTCATAATTTCCCTGGATTTCAGTGATGGCGATCCTTTCATGGTATTATATACTTATATAATACTATATAATGCACACATTCTCTCATAAAAGTTTGTTTAAAGAAATGCATCCCCTAGACTTCCCCTCACTTTTACTCAACTTCACTCGTTGATCTGAACCCATCTAAAATCTTACTTTCTTCTGTGGAACACAAATGCATTAAAAAAAAAAACGTGTTTCTTTTTTTCCTCATGCATTGACCGTAGACCATAACCTAAAATATACAGAACCTCAAAAACACCGAGGGATAATTACAAATGTTGTGTATCACCTGACCAGATAAAAACAAGAAAGAAAACCATTTAAACAGATGGTTTAAACATCTCTATGTGGCATATATCTTCATGAGTTTTGTAATAACCATCGGGATTCCCATTCATCTCATTGGCTGTTTCTCGACTGGTGCCTGATGGAAGTATAGGCTACACAGGAGTAGATTTAAGTGAATAACTTCAATTTCAACTGAAATATCTGTCTAAGCCTTTCAGTAAAGTGCTACTGCTATGCTTTTCCACTGCAGACAGTGACGCAAACCGCTGAGACCTGCAAGAAACTGAAGATCCCTTTCCCTGAAGTCAACATTCCCAGTGAAGACGTGAAGAAACCGAAGGGCTTCTATGTGTTTAAAGGCAAAAACGCTCCAACCGTGATTCACATCCCTCTGTTTAATGTGGTCAACTCTGGAGGCAAGTCCAGATCTCACAGCTGTCCTGAATACATCTGATTCAGGGCTCCTACACATTTTCCATTTCCAAATTCCAGATTCAAATTTCTCTGTAGATTCTTCAGACCATACCTAACATCTGATAAACTGTTAACATGTATGTTACATTCTGACAAGGTATGCTATTATGTTGCCAATTAATAGTGAAAGATTGTAGCTAGGTACTGTAGCTCATTCAAATCAATGAACACCAATCAAGTTCAGTGTGATATATTTTAACTGCCATGCTATAGGAAATATGCTTGAGCTTTCACTGACAGCATTTTAAATATTTTAAATTAATATTATAAGATTTAAAATAATATTGTCACTTATTACATTTATTTAGACAATTGCATATGCTATTATGTATAATAATGTTTGCTATACTATAAATTCACTGATGAAATCATTTGCTATCAGGGTTATCACGCCATCCAAGTCCTCCAAGTATTCCCCATATGGCACTATTTGAGATTGTTTTCAGCATTATATTCAGTAGTTTAATATAGTACAGTCATCTGTAAATATTAATTTTCCACTCGTTCACTGCACACATCAGTTCTCTTGAACTGATAACATGCTTACATGATGAGAAGAAACATAAAATGCTTTATAACCTGCATATATTCACCTCTGACACATTGGTTTGGTATTGTAATCGTGCTTTGATGTTGCTTTTAAATGAATAACAGTTTTGCTAAATGGATTATATGATATAGCCTATGATATATTGATATAAATATAAATTTATGCCATTTATAATAATAGTAATTATTATTATTTTGTGTGTGGCTCAGGGAGGGCAGTGACTTAAAGCCCTCTATTGGCCAGCCTCCACGAAATTCTTTTTTTTTTTATTCTCAGTTTTACATTTTATAGTCTGTAATAGTCTGTAAACACAAATATTTTTTCATTCATTCATTTTTTTCATACTTATCCATACCTGGAAATCACTAAAATCCTGCTGATTTAAGTGTGTTACTGTTCCATCAGATAAAATTGATGCCTGGAGGAAGAAATATGGAACCTCTCAGGTTCCGTACAGCGCTGAGATGATCGCTGAACTAATGCAGGTCTCTGGGAAAAACTTCGCAATCAACAGAGCCAAACTGCTGGAGCAGATTCGTGTGGTCGCAGAGGCTAAATATTTCCAGGCACAAGCACGGCAAATTTAAAGTTCGCTTGAAATTCAATCTGTTTTTCTAAATGCATTTCATTTATCTTTTTTTTTTTCTTTTCTTTTGTCTTCCTAATTTTTTTAACAAAATGTCAACTCGATGCTCAGGGGATTTTTTTAACTCGATGCACAGTTTTTTTTTAACTCTATGCACAGGTTTTTTTTTTACTCGATGCTCAGGGGATTTTTTTAACTCTATGCACAGGTTTTTTTTAACTCTATGCACAGGGTTTTTTTAACTCTATGCACAGGGTTTTTTTAACTCGATGCACAGGGTTTTTTTTAACTCGATGCACAGGTTTTTTTTAACTCGATGCACAGGTTTTTTTTAACTCTATGCACAAGGTTTTTTTAACTAGGTGCACATGTTTTTTTAACTCGATACACAGGGTTTTTTTTACTCGATGCACAGGGTTTTTTTAACTCGATGCACAGGGTTTTTTTAACTCGATGCACAGGTTTTATTTTAACTAGGTGCACAGGGTTTTTTTAACTCGATGCACAGGGTTTTTTTAACGCGATGCACAGGTTTTTTTTAACTCGATACACAGGTTTTTTTAACTCTATGCACAGGGTTTTTTTTAACTCGATGCACAGGTTTTTTTTAACTCGATGCACAGGGTTTTTTTAACTCGATGCACAGGGTTTATTTTAACTAGGTGCACAGGGTTTTTTTAACTTGATGCACAGGGTTTATTTAACTAGGTGCACAGGGTTTTTTTAACTCGATGCACAGGTTTTATTTTAACTAGGTGCACAGGGTTTTTTTAACTCGATGCACAGGGCAGACTTCTCTCTGGTGATGCGGGACACATTGCATTATAGACATGTTTGCATTTTATTTCTGTAAAAATGTTTCTACATGTTTCTTCATTGCTTGATCTTCACTAAGCAATACATATCTGATCATTAATCATAAAATCAACAACACAGACTGGATTACTGCTGATTAAAATACTGCATTACTTTGCTTCTGTTCCAATAAATTAATAAACTGCTTTCTAAAACATTACAACTGCTAATTACAAATAATTATAAAATTAAAAGCATTATTCAGGCCATGAAGAGACCTTTGGAGGGGCAGGTGCTCCAAGTATCAAAGGGGCTTTAAATAGGGCTGCGCTCCTTGCTGATACGCGTATCTGTATTGATATATACAGTATATGGTTTAAGAGTGTTTTTCAAGTCATTTGCAAGTAATAAATAAATAAAGTATATGAATAATGCAGTGCTAATTGACATATCA